TTTATCCCACGACAAACATCAGTCAATTCAAATAGAATATTTAGCGTTGGAACTGATATCGCGCAAGCCGTATTTTATCTCGTGTCCGCCATCATATCTATAAATGTGTTTCCGCTTTGATGTGTACAATTATGTGGTAGCACCATGTTGTACTTGTAAATGTTTGCATGTTATTAACTTGATCGCGTCAATGAAATTGTTAATTGCAGTTTACTCAAAAGGCTTTGAGGAAACGCGACGCGACTCATTATTTTCTTAAAACCCTCTTAAAATGAGGGGATGCCTGAACCCCGTTATGGGATATGTCGAGCTTGAACTAAATTGCCGAAGAATTACCTAAATTAACACTTGAATTCACTTTACACTAATTAAAGTTAAAAATACTAATAATAATCACATGATTCTTTAGAGCTTGCGGACTCAAACTTGTCTTGGCTTTATAAATAGGGATCGGAAGGTAGGCGGTGTTTGATGGGGTAGTGTAATATGTCTCTTTGTTATACATGTAACAATATTATTATTTGAAATTACAATAATAGTAAGTACGTATAACGAAGTTAATAGTCCTAGATTAAACTATTGTTGTATGTTCTGCGTCATAAAAATCTACGTAGATTCTAAGATAAACAAAAGAATCAAAATGCAGGGGCTTCGTCACCTCTGAATAATTAGAAGAATATATTGTTTGCAAGAGAGTTTTCGGTTCTTGTTACTCATCATATGTAACATGTTAGCATATCACTGCTATTTGTGCTGATATTCTGTGTAGCTCGGTTTTTCCACCTCATATCATCCCCTGGATTATGTAAGAATCAACAGAGGAAATCAAGCCTAGAAGGGCTATGTTTAGTGGTACACTTTTGATTCCTGCAACCTGTGCAGGAAATGATTTTAGTGCACGAGTGAATGCGCAAGTACAGGTGCAATCTCTATACCCATACTCCTAAAGTTCGATGAGATGTTAATTTGACACGACCGTAGAGAGATTTGGCTCAGGACTAGCATGTTTACGTACTTTCTGAGGTGCAGCGGTGAAACATAACCAGTTTCCTAACCCAATCCAGGATTCGAACTCAAAAAATCGTAATCAGCAATCGTGTTAAAAACCACTGGACCAACGAGACAGTCATTTATTATTATGAATGTGTTAATGTATTACAAAATTATTAATCCAAGTTCAGTGAGAGTTTGCCGCCCATGAATGGTTTTTTTAGCCCCGATAATTTAAAAATGGCTACAAAAAAAGTTGGGTTTTTTAGTCCCCTCGGACCACTAAATGTTCCTTGTTTGTATTTATTTTATATGTTTTAAAAAAAAAAAAAAAAAAAAAAAAAAAAAAAATATAAAGGAAAAAGAGGGTTTTTGGCTTAGCTTAGTTTCGGCCGGCATACCACCCCACATGTCGGTCACCTCGTGAGCCAGGTCCAGATATTTTGTTCGTTTATCTGTTTCGGCTTTCACGAGGTTCTCGTCATACGGAATATAGTATTGTCGACCAAAAATATCCTTGACTGTGCCCGGTCCATCAGCACAATATCAAGGCTTATTCGCAAGAATAGTCCTGTCCGTGATGATGGGCCGGTCCCCGTAGAGCCTGGCGCGGTCATTTTCGAGCACGGCTTCCGGCAAGTACTTGTAATATGGCAATTTCCGGTCCACGAGACCGTATTTCAGAGCGAGCTCCTGGTGTAGAATTCTGGCTACTAGGTTGTGCCTGTGCAAGTACTCAGAGTTAGAAAGTGCCGAACAACCGGTGATGATATGCCTAAGTGACTCCCCGGAATGGCGACAAGCTCGACAGACGTCGACAGTGCCATCCTTTAGGAATGTATCTTCGATAGTTGTTGGTCTTAATAACCTGATCCTGTATTGCACAGACAAAACCCTCGGTTTCCCCCGAAGAGGTCACTGAAACGTAGCCAGTTGAGTGTAGTAGCAGTACGTGGGACTCATGTAGAGCCCTGTAGTACCTCCCGTGGAGCTCCTTCTTCCATACGGTCTCCCGGTCGGAAATGCTCTGTACTGCCGGGTCCTGCCATTGCTCGTTGGCTAAGGATAGAGGGGTAAGTCCTATATTACTAGAAATGACGTCATTATAGAATGGATCATCCGATCTTGCCAGGAAGTAATGACGGAGGCTGCACACTTCGCGATTTTGCATGGTGAGCGCGCTCAAGAAGCCATGCCCACCATGCTTTCACGGCAAGTACAGCCTCATTAACGACGATCTCGGATGATGCATCCTATGGGACGTCATTGTAGTGCGGACTTTTCTATCCAGGGCATTTAGTTTAGTCTGACTCCACCTGAGTATGCCAAACGTATACATGAGGACAGGCATGACCCAGCAGTTATATGCGTGTGTCTTATTCACATCGGACAAAAGGCTGTTAAGCACTTTGGTCAAGCGTACATAAAACACGTCGCAAACTGACTGTTTCATACCAGCCTCATCGATACCGATGTTCTGTGACAGTCCCAGCTATCGGTATGTTTCAGCCTCGGAAAGGGTCCTTAAGTTGACGGGCATAGATAAGTCTATGCCCTCAGATTTAGCAACCCTTCCGCTTTCAACATGGAGGACCGCACACTTACGCGTCCCCAGCTCCATTCTAATAGGATTACTAAATTCACAAGTGATGTTTAGCAATTCCATAAGATGGGAGCGACTGGAGGCGAATAATTTGAGGTCATCCATATAGAAAAGGTGGTTCACTTTTGTACCTCCTTTCCGAAGCTGAAATCCCCTCCCGGAGCCCTCCAGTAAAGTACTGAGAGGGTTCAAAGAGAGGCAGAACCAGATTGGACTCAGACACTCGCCTTGGAATATACCCCTTCTTATCCTTATGTGGCTTTCCGCAGCCGTCATTTGCTCGCCTAGATGACAGAGGATCGTACTCCACTGCCCCATACACTGCTCGAAGACCTTCTTTAGCCATCTATGGGGCACAGAGTCAAATGCCTTTCTGTAATCTATCCTGGCGGGTTGACATTTGCTTTTCACCACTTTGCCAATGACTGCGTCAATGAGGAGTGGTTCCTTGGTTCCACGACCGCCGCGCCGACATCCATTTTTAGCGCGCGACATCACCTGATTTGAGTCCAGGTGACGAGTGATTCTCGCACTCAAAATGGATGTTATTGTCTTGTATATGGTCGGTAGATACGTGATGGGGCGGTATTTGCTCGGGTCTGTGGCACCCTGATCTTTAGGAACCAAATGAGTGATCCCAGTAGTGAAGAGGCTCGGGAGCGACTTCTGGTTGAGAGCCTCTTGAAACTGTCGAGCGAGCACAGCATGACACACCATGAACCCCTTCACCAATAGTGATGCAGCCCGTCAAGCCCCGGACTTTTCCAGTTCGGGGCCCTACGGACCGCCTTAGCTACGTCATCCGGCGTTATGATGACGGGGTCCATGGGCGTAATACACGCACACTGACTCGCCACAACTTCTGTCCAAGGGCCCCCGTTGTGGTTTACGGGCTCTGATCACAGGCTGCGCCAGAATGCGACCGTGTCGGCCTGATTCGGTACTGGGCCCGTTCCACTTAGCATTGGTCGCTCCAATGATTTATAGAGCCTCTTCTGATCACTCTGTAAGAGACGATTATGGTTGAACCGTTTCGACCTCTCGGTATATCGCCGAATCCGCTTTCCCCAAGCAGCGATTTTCCGCTTCAGGTCGTCTATGCGCTCCGTCAGATTTTTGCATTATATCCGGCTGGGACAAATGTTAGTTTGTCCCAGCAAACGCCATCCTGACGGTGCGCACAATCCTTGGCCTGGTATTGCCTGACCTGAAGCATATCAGTCTGCCGATGAGGGCCCTAGCCTTTGCGATACGTTCTTCAATTATTGTTCTCCAGGCTGGGATAGCACTACTTTGTCCAGTAGTTCGTCCAGCCTTGGAAAGTTTGGCGCCTATAATACGGCAGAGAATTTATTATTATTATTTGCGTCTTTTATTATTCAATGTATAATAATGTTTATTCATTTCAAGTCAGTAAGTACAAAGAGCGTAAATAATTGTAAAAAATATAATCCATTCTATTGAAATTTATTCAATAGCTCATTATGAACCTAAAAAGATACTGTTCGTGTAGGGGCGGTGTAAGAGTATCCACTACCCCATATCGTTCCATAGGTGACTCAGAGAAACTGAAAAAGGAGATAAGCAGCAAAATCTGCCTGATAATAAGTCAAAATTATAAAAATCTGCGGTTGCCAAGCGTGACAACTATGACAAACCATCCCTATGAGGCAATCTATGGGTTAGGTCTATGTTTATTTTACAGGATAGGGTGACAAACGAGCACACGGTCCACCTGATAGTTTGTGGTTGCTACGGCCCATAGACATCCACATCTATCCTCAATTACAAATCAAAATGGAGATGCGTTGTCACCCGTGAGGACTAAGATGGAATGCCTCGTTTTCAGTAAGAAGGGTCTCCCATTCTCTACTCTCACCATACGAAACACAGCAGCATTAGGCTACTATTTTACGCTGGTATTCTGTGAGATCGTGGTCCTTCCTCGGTCGAGCCGATTCATTCGTGCTACAACTATACTACTAAATATAACTGCAGCGTGGCTCTACCACGTATAAGATTAATAGATATAATTAAGTTTGGTAGATACAACTTTTGTAGGCTCTAGTAGCTGAATGGATGGATGAATGAAAACTATTTTATAAAATTACAGTTTGAAAAAAAAAATCCTCAAGTGGATACTATTATCCACTTTGCTTGCTTTTTAAATAAAAAGTGATATTTTTAATTCAAGCTTAGGCCGTTGTAATACGCCACTGTAAATAAAACAGTGATTATACAAAGTGGTGTTATCGACTTCACGCACGTATGACATGCATATTGTTAACGTGTTTGTGGACTAGAGCTTTATTGCAAATACAAAGGGAAACTTCCATTTTGGATTGTTAGTTTGCCACGTTATTGCAACGTAATTTATAAATAAACCTTTATTAAATTTTGTTAAAAAATGACACGTGTTATGTGTATCGTGATTTATCTTTATTGTTGTCTAAAATTAGTAACAGCTAACTACAAATTTACATACCACAGTAAGTACATTTACTTCGTGTTTTAATGTACGTTATTATATTTTTAATTAGTAACGATACCGATTAATGATTAAGTGATGCATATGTGATGCATATGTGATGCATATGTAGTAGAAAATGTTAAAACATTATACACACAATTTACGTTTTACATTTACTCTTGATAATATTTTTTCCCATAAAAATAATTTAAAACTTATATCGTGTTTAAGTATTACTATTTACACATCTTTTTATTTTTATACAGCTGCATTTATTCGTAGTGATGGAAGGGACGACACTGATCTCTAAATGATGTTAGTTTGTTTTGTATTTTTAGCTGATTTTGTACATTATTTTTTAGTGTTTAATGTTTGTGTTGTATTTTATACTTTGTTAATGTAAGATTTTATTTATAATAAAAAGAGGATACTATACGTATTAGGTTCGTGCTGTAAGGATAAATGTCTCAAGTAATAAATAAATAAATAAAAATATTTTACAGGTGACCACTAGATAGAGTGACGACCTGCTTAGACATGCAGGAAGTCGATGGATGCAGATGGCTCAGGATCGTGCTTTATGGTATTCCTTAGGGGAGGCGTATGTTCAGCAGTGAACTTGTAAAGGGCTGTAATGATGATCGTGATGATACCTAGTTTAGAGATCAGGGTTCATCTCGTTCTCTTATCCTATAGTACGAATAAATTAAAATTTCTTCCCTTCCTTCAATCTTTTCCCTTTTATGTTTTTTTTTGACTATTATTTTTTTTGTTTAAAAATTAAGGACTTATAAGTAGAGGAACCTCTATGAATTTGAAAATAAATGATTAATGTCATACTTCTATATATATATATATATATATATATATATATATATATATATATATATATATATATATATATATATATATGAAACTTCACAACCAAATATATAAATACAAACTCCTAAAGTAGAATGTTAACTAAATACGACATTTTATCCAAGTCGTTAGAGCTGTTTTCGAGAAACCAGATAGATACATATATACTCATATGTACGAGAGTTGCTCACCTAAGTAATCCTATATTATAATTCTAGTGCGTGTGGGTAGTAAAAAAAATATATCGGTCAAATACAATAACCAAGAAGCGAGTTCATTGTGTTCCTATCATTATTCATTATAACTATAAGGCGGTGGTCCAAGTATAATTTTATTGCATAGTTTCATGATTTTAAATATATTCAAATAATCTTCTTCAATATATTGATTAAATTCGCTTCTTTCACATGTTTTGGAAGTTGATTGTATAAATGTGCTCCCCCAAATGTTATGTTATTTTTTCCACAGTTTGTTCTTTTGGCAGGTAACACAAAATTGCTGGCTCGGCGGGATATATATTTGTTTATTTGAATTTTTGTTGTGAATGTTATGTGGGAGTGAATAAGCTTGTGAGTTATATTATATTATATGTATTATACGTAAAAAGTTGTTTAATATTTAAAATTTTTGCATTTTTGTAAAACGTTTTCGATGGTGTTAAGAAGCCATAGTTGTGTAAGATTTTAATTATTTTATTTTGTAATATTTGTATTGGTTTTAAATTACTTTTAGCTGCAGTACCCCATATTTCGATTTGATACAGTAAGTGAGGCTTTACCAACGTATTGTATATTAAAAGTCGAGCATGTTTCGGTATATATCGAACTATTTTGTGTAGTGCGCCCACAAGTGAGGGGAGTTTGTTGTGAATATATTGCAAGTGAGCTTTCCATGTAATGTTTTTGTCCAGTGTTAAGCCTAGGTATTTTTCTTGTTTAACTTGTAATATCTCACCGTTAATGCTAAGTTTAGGTCGATCAGGTATTTTTCTATTTTTTAAACTAAATATTATGTATGATGTTTTAGAAGTATTAATTGTTAGTAGATTGTATTGGAGCCAACAGTGAAGTATGTTTAATCCTCTTGTGCGCGCATCGTTATTCCTTTGACATTGCTCCCAAAATAAAATAAGCTTGTATCATCTGCGTAGAGAGCAAGGCACAAACGTGTAGTAAATAGACTTTAAGCGATATTTTTCAACTGTTGATTACTTTTAATATATAAAAAGTAAATTATTATTATGTCATGTTAGTATATTAGTACAGGAAAATGACAGAAAACACAAAATTATAAAGAAAACTTATTCTAAAACTAAAGGATTAAAAAATAGATGAAAAACTAAAGCTTTGGTGATTAAATATTTTATAAAAATAAAACTTTAGAGAAACGCTATAAATAACGCAATAAAGGGAGCAAAGAAGTTCAAACATAGACAATGCCGTTACAGCCTATGAAAGTCCACTGTTAAAAATAGGCTTCCCCATAAATTGCCTCATAAGGGGACCTCATATTTGCCATAGTAGCCACGCTTGCAACTGCAGTTTATTTTTTTATTTTTAGTCGTTATTAATAAGTTGCTGCTGCCCATCTCCTGATTTGTTCTTCCATTGCCTCTTACGAGACCTACGGGATGATATGGGGTAGTGGATATTCTTACACCGCCACTACACGGTAACATATGGACCCACTTTTAACGAAAAGCGACGTAAGACTTGTGCCTTGCTATGGGACGTATATAAAGGACTGGAGGTGGACTGCCTCGTTGGTATAGTGGTCGTAGTAGTGCAACTGCTGATTATGAGGTCCTGGGTTCGAATCCCGGGTCGGACCAAAAAATCAACTCGTCAAGAAATTATCAGTAGTTGCCCGGAGTCAGGAAGTTGGTGGTGTCTCACCCCCGTGCCTCGGAAAGCACGTAAAGCCGTTGGTCCTGCGCCCGATCTCTCTCCGGTCGTGTCGGTTTACCGTCCCATCGGATTATGAGAGTGAGGAAATAGAGAGTGCACCTGTGCTTGCGCATACACTTGGGCACTATAATCCTGTCCTGCGCCGATGACTAGCCTTCGTTGAGGCAGGCCGCCGTGGCCGAAATTCGGTCTGGAGGACATTATTATATAAAGGACTAACATTAGCGTTTTTTCTTTTTAAATTTTAATAATTACATATGAGTACAGTACAAAAAAACAAGCGTTTTGGTTTCAGTGGCCTTACGTTGTAAAGAGCATGTTTGTCAACATGGGTACAGCTATGAAACATACTATCGTGTGGATTCAGCGGATCGTCGGCGCCTAAAGTCTGAACCTAATGTGGCCTTTGAGATGCATTTAGCTATTTTAGCAGCTAGCAATGGGCACATTTTACTTTCAACCGTACCTCAACCAACTGCAAGTGATCCTGTCTATGAAATTGGTAAGGGAACTGAGAAAACTGCGATATCTATGCGTATTACGTTCCATTACATGTATCTGACCATCATCATTACAAACTGTCAAATTTTTGATGTTTGCTATAGTTGCCACACATGGCAGGGTACTTAAATTTGGGATAGGTATGTCATACAATGTCTGATTCCATTTATGAGTAGTGTTATAATAATCATTCAATAATTACGGTCTAAGTTATAACCAAATTAATTTTTTGTATAATACTGAAGCGATACGTGTAATCGAACTTTCAGTCCATCTGGTGATAAGTGGCTAAAGTGGGTTACATTAGTCATTTATCACCAGGTGGTATTGGTCATCTGTAGACGCAACTTCAGAAAAGGAAGGATATAAGATCAGAACAACAGATGCATCTTTACCTCCAAGGACTAAGGTGGAATGCTTCACATCCTACAGTCATATTATGTTATGTTATTTTATGTTAATTTTTTAAATTAGTTTTCTATACTCTTCAAACCGGAACTTAGCAGTGCAAATACTACTATTTGTTGGCAGAAATAAGCACTGCAAAATTCTCTAATATTATTGTGATTAATGTAAGAGTATTGCATAACATTCTTCTTCTCAGTTATTGGAGGAGGCGGTAACAAGTTCACGGAACTACGTCGCAATTTAAGAAGAAATGCTAGAGCGTCTTCTAAAACTATCGGAATTCTGTCACCCATCGAGTTCCGAGCGTTTTACATTAAAATTTCTGACGGTAAGGAACCTATATCATTACTATGCAATTACGTGTAACAATTTAATTTATTGAGATATTAAAACTGTACGCTGTATAAAAAATAAACATAAAAAATAATAATATGAGTTGTGTATAAATTTAGAATTAAAATAACGAAAACTTAAAATTACTTTAAACTAACGTAGGCCTGGGTTGTGCTTAATTGCTTAATATATTTATTTATAGTGGGTAAATTTTAATAAAGAATTAAACAAATAAAAACATCGGTGTATATTTAAATTTCATTTTATCGATTGTTACACTGTAATTTTTTTCCGTTTAAGGTGGGTCTGTTTTTATAATAAAATTTGCCTATCCATTTATTGACATAAGGCCTCGCATAATTTAAGTAATAATAGCAATATTAAGTATTATTTGAAAGCAATGAAAAGCATGAAAGTAGGTAAGGCAACCGGATATGATAGAGTTTCACTCGGTATGCTTAGGGCTGGAGAGGAAGTGGTGGTAGGCCTGCTGTACACCTTGTTTAATTTATGTTGGGAACTAAAGCGGGTACCGGGAGACTAGTGCAAAGCCGTGATATTCCCAATATATAAGGGAAAAGGCTCACAACAGGACTGTAAAAAATACCGTGGCATCAGCCTTCTTAGCATTGTGGGAAAACTGTATGCTAAGGTACTAATTGAAAGTGTTATGAAAGAAACTGATGGAAAAATTTGGGATGTGCAAGCGGGATTTAGAAAGTTAATGGGGTGTACAGATCAAGTCTTTTCAATGCGCATGATCTCGGAGAAGTTTTTGGCGAAAAACCAAAAAGGTTTTTGTGCGTTCATGGACTTGGAAAAGGCTTATGACAGAGTGGACAGGGATGTGTCATGGCAAACGCTAAACTCATTTAGGTTGAACGCTAGGCTTTTTCGCTGTCTCTGTATGACTCGAGTGCTTGTGTTAGGATCAACGGGGCCTTCTAGGACTGGTTTGGCATCCATAAAGGTGTCAGATAGGGCTGTGTAGCTTCCCCGTGGCTGTTCAGCCTATATATGGACAGTTGTTTTGAAAATTTGAAAGTTGAAGAATGCGGGTTAAGAATGGGTGAGTTAAACATCAAATGCCTTTTGTACGCTGATGATGAAGTCATACTTGCATCATCGACGGCCAAGTTGCAAATAATGGTTAAATTAATGAATAGGTCATTAAAAGAAAGGGGAATGAAAGTGAACACAAGTAAGACGAAAGTTATGGTTTTTGAAAGAGAAGAAAGTAAAACGATATGTGAAATAAGAATAGAAGAGGAGATGGTCGAGCAAGTAGATGAATTTATATATTTGGGATGTGTATTCAGCAGGGATGGGAGATATGATAAGGATATTGAACGATAAGTGAATGCAGAAAATAAAGTAAATGGGGCTCTGCACTCTATTGTGAAAAGTCAGAATGTATCAAAAAGGCACGTATGGCAATTCACAATGCTGTATTAGTCCTTACTTTAACGTATGGTAGTGAAAGTTGGGTGTGGCAGAAGAAGCACGAGAGTAAAATAAATGAGGTAGAAATGCGGTTGCTAAGGAGTATGCTAGGGTTGAATCTAAGTGGCAGGGTGAGAAACTGTGTGACAAAAGAGGATTGTGGTTTGCAAGATGATGCGATGATCAGGATTGAGAAAGGGATTCTTTGGTGGTTTGGTCATGTAGAAAGAATGAGTGAGGAAAGACTGACAAAGCCAATATATGTTGCAGAAGTGAATGGAAGAGTCGGAAAGGGACGTCCTAGGCGAAAGTTTGTCGACCAAATTGGCGATATATTATAAATGGGCCAAATTAAGAGTACCTTTAACCGACGAGCATGTATGCGTAGGTATATGGATGTGGAAGAGGCGAGAGACGTATGTCAGGATCGTGCTAAATGGAAGTCTGTAGTCTCTGCCTACCCCTCTGGGTGACAGGCGTGAGTGTTTATATATTATGTATATATTTGTAAAGCCGGCCAGACAAGAATACTATTTAAATAACCCAGTAAAAATAAAATCCAATAATAAAATCCATACACTCAGGATGATGTTGGTGCTAGCCCGCATGCGACTCAGCATGGAGACACATCTTTTGCGCATTGTGACTTTGAACCCGTCTACCATCTACAAATATGCCCGACATGCTACAATAATAATTTGGTTATTTTTTATTCTTTTTACAGATGGCTTGATTGAATTTGGAAAGGAGGATGAAGCTCTACCTCTGCTAAGTTACTATGACGTAAATCCGCTTCCAATTAAATATTTTAGTTTTGCCGCATGGAATGGCGTTGAAGCTAAATTTTTATATGACTGTCCAACGCCAGGGGATAATGAAACTGATGGTAATTGACTTTTTTAATTTACCTCAAATTTACTATATTATTTATCTTACAAAAATAAAAATAATAATTAAAATTACAATATTTACAATTAATATTAATTACATAATATAAAATAAAGAAACTATAATATAGAAAAACTAATACAAAAAATTTAAATTGTCAAAAAGTCCTGCTATCCGTGGTATAGTGCCAAGAACTCTGACTGCGTTTCCTCGCTGAATAGCTATACTAAGCCTCTGAGCGAGTAAAGAACCAGCCCTCTTATTACCAGCAGTAACGACCAGCCGTGGATACAGTTCCTTTAAGAACTTCACTGCACGTGGACCCCACGGACTGATAGTCTCTACAGGAAATGGCACAAATATGTAGTCATTCCTCAAAGTCTCATGTTTGCGCAATTTACTAAATTCGACTGCCTCTGATGCCACTCCGGCTCTAAAAGAGGTACCCTTGAGATGAGAGGTCGCCAAAGTGTTAACGCAAGTAGCATCCCACACTAGGGCTTTACCTCTCTTTCAAAGGACTCGTCAGGTCTCGTGCCATCGTCTCTAAATATCCCGCAAGGCTCTAAAACCGAGGGGATATTTATGGAGACAAGAGCCCTTCAGATGACTTCGTTTAAAGAACCGTGACGGAAAAACCTACCTGCATTTTTCTTGCATGAAAGTCCGTGGAGCCCAAACTCATCGACACTGCTACCACAGGGGCATTGGTAAGGTTGACAAATTGCCGCTCCAAGCCGGATTCCTACGACGATGCGCAAACTCTCCCCATCAAGCAATGTGCCAAGATTACTTGATGGTAGGGCGTGTAACCAGTGGCTAGATTTGAAATAATAATAATTTTTACGGAATTTATCGCGTATATTTAACTTTTTTACCCGACGTTTCGAGAGCTTTACAGCACCCATGGTCACGGGAAGGACTGAGATGTTCAACGTCCAGCTGTCATAGTTAACCGCGGTTACCATAGATTAAAATTTAACTTTTGTTCCGATCTACACAGTATGAACTTATGGTATCTTGGAGTCTTGCAGTTGTATGCTTGGGTTGGGATTTAATTTTATTTATTATAGGATCCCAAGCAGATGGTAGCACCCAGCCATCTTCTCTATTGAAATTAGGATGTTTTTTGATTTCAATAGCCTCGCGAATCATCCTTGGAAGGAATCGGTGTTCTTTAGCGAGGATTTGTGGTCTATCAAATCTGATGTAGTGACGGGGGCGATCCTGTACATGTTCACAGACTGCAGACTTCCCGGAGCGTCGATTCTTCACATCAGCTATATGTTCTTTGACGCGGGTTTTAATTGATCTTTTAGTTTGTCCTATGTAGGAGAGACCACGTTTTTAACCTTTTTTATAAGTACTTACATCCGACAAAAGTTCTTAAACGACCCAACAAACAGCACACTAAAAACAACTAGTGACCTCATAAAGAAACACTCCGAAAAATTAAATCTGGACGTAAAATGGATAATACCTACGTGCGCCAAATCACCAAAGTTGTATGGGTTACCAAAAATACACAAGCCCAATGCTCCATTACGCCCCATAGTGAGCCAAATCGATTCACCAACTTACAGATTGGCTCAACACTTAGCGAAAATACTCTCACCGCTCAGGGGACATACAAGAGCACACATAAAGGATTCCTACCATTTTGTCAGCGAGATTAATGACCTACGTCTGGCAGACAATGAAACTATGGTCAGTTTTGATGTGCAGTCATTGTTTACATGCTTACCTGTTGAAGACTGCATCTCAATTGTAACTAGAAGGCTGGAAGAAAACAACATGCCCGTAGAATATGCAGTATTACTCAGACACTGCCTTACATCTGGCTACCTATTGTGGAAGGAGGAGTTCTACAAGCAAGTAGATGGTGTGGCGATGGGCTCACCTGTATCTCCCATTGTCGCCGACATATTCATGGAAGACTTTGAGGAGAAAGCCCTGCTTACTTCTCCCATAAATCCAAGATTCTACAAGCGGTACGTAGACGACACTTTCACAATTCTACATTTAGATAAAGTAACTGCATTTTTAGACCATCTTAACTCTATAAATACTAAAATTCAGTTCACAATGGAGTTAGAGGCAAACAATTCCTTACCTTTTCTAGATGTGTTAGTAATTCGGAATCCTGATAACACCTTGAGCCATACTGTGTATAGAAAAAAGACCCATACAGATAGATATTTAAACGGTGATTCTCACCACCATCCTTCACAGTTAGCTACCGTGGGTAAATCTTTGTTTCACAGAGCACGAGGGATCTGTGACAGTAAACACCTGGCTGCCGAGCTCCAACATGTCAAGCAAGTTTTGCATGACAACAAGCTTCGGGTCCCGCGCCTACGTCACAGAGAACGAGTGAAGCCGGCCACAGTCGAGCGTGTACCTGCTGTACTGCCATATGTTAGAGGAGTCACTGACAAGATTGGCTACATCTTGAAGCGCGCTTCCATCAAAACATACTTCAAGCCGCCGAAGAAGATTGGTCAGTTTTTACCATCAGTCAAGTGTAACGTCCCTCTGCAAGATGCAGGAGTGTACAAGCTTGATTGTGAATGTGGTCTCTCCTACATAGGACAAACTAAAAGATCAATTAAAACCCACGTCAAAGAACATATAGCTGATGTGAAGAATCGACGCTCCGGGAAGTCTGCAGTCTGTGAACATGTACAGGATCGCCCCCGTCACTACATCAGATTTGATAGACCACAAATCCTCGCTAAAGAACACCGATTCCTTCCAAGGATGATTCGCGAGGCTATTGAAATCAAAAAACATCCTAATTTCAATAGAGAAGATGGCTGGGTGCTACCATCTGCTTGGGATCCTATAATAAATAAAATTAAATCCCAACCCAAGCATACAACTGCAAGACTCCAAGATACCATAAGTTCATACTGTGTAGATCGGAACAAAAGTTAAATTTTAATCTATGGTAACCGCGGTTAACTATGACAGCTGGACGTTGAACATCTCAGTCCTTCCCGTGACCATGGGTGCTGTAAAGCTCTCGAAACGTCGGGTAAAAAAGTTAAATATACGCGATAAATTCCGTAAAAATTATTATTATTTCAATGTGTAGTGTTCGCGTAAATATAAGAAATCATTACAGTGGCTAGATTTCTTAGTCGAAACTACTAGAAGGCGAGCTTGATCTTGTTCACGGTTTGTTGTGTAAATGAAATAAATTTTTCTGGACACTCTGTACCAACGGAATATCCCACTGTTTTTGTTGGTTAACTTCCAGTGGGAAATTTTCGCCGGGACAGAGCTTTAGCCATGTTTGCCTTGCCTCCGCAGCAAAATACATATCTACTTTATTTTTTAAAATTGTGTTACATAAATCATTTACCCCAACTCACATAAAAGTTACTAAAACTGTAAGGATAAGATATTATAAGTGTTTAACATTACAGATAAATAAACTCATATCATAATTTGTAATGCCGTATGGTGTCACGTAGGACAACATCACTTGATAGATGAAAGAAGTATTATAATATTATAGAATTATTTTTTATATTTTATAAGATATCTCAGTTTTGATATTATAATAAGAGATTTCATCGCCCTATTCAAAATGAGAGGAATGTATCACAAGAATAAAACAAATAATCTTCTTGTATAAAATAGCACAGTCTCAAAAATAATTGAGAAAATTGGTGGAAGCTAGGTAGTACAAAAAGTCCG